TCTAAGTAAGCCACAGCCATTATGCGCAATTTATAGACTATAATGATTTAATACAACGAAATGTTGTTTAAATGCTGAGCACTTTATGTCCCTACCAGCATCTTGTGCCGCACTCGCAAATGCATCACAACGTATTTCTTTGTAGGCTACAGTCTTTAAATAATTGAAATAATATAGGCTAAATAATTCATTTTCATTACTTCTTAGGCTCCCTGTCTGGCTCCTGATCTATTTAGAGTGTTTATATGCTGTTTAATATGACATGTAGCCTATTTGAAATGATGTTAGCTTCTTACATTCACCTTTTCATGTTTATTCAAATATTTTCACCTTTTTCCCCCCCACCCCGAAGAAAGCATGCCTCCCACCCCTTCCTATCCCACCCAGTAATCGAGGTTGCTTATTGCCCTCCCCCACAACGACCAGAGACCCCAGTACCACCTCTTCCCCGTGGGCCTGAATGCAAAGAAAGTAACAAAAGTCTAAATAAATATATATAATTGGTTTGTATGTGTGTGGCTTTAGCTGAGATTGTCCAGTCCTCAGTTGTTGCTTGACTAGCACCATTCACTCTTGTTGTCGATAATTCTAATGTTATAACTTCTAATAGTAACTGTATCCACTGGTTAAATGGGAGAGAGTGATGTGGTTGATCTTCTGGGATTGATCGAAGGATTCAAGGGGCTATCATTGTTAAGTAACATAATAGATGGAAAGTATTGAATATTTAAATTCATGCACTTCTAAATGAATTGTGTTACTTTGCCCCAGAAGCATTTGACTGCGGGGCACTCCCACATCATATGAAGGAATGTGCCTACCTGATTTAGGGGACACAGTGAACAGTTGGGAGTTGGGGCCAATTTCATCGTAAAATGTTTCCTATACAGTCTGTGAACAAACTTAAAATGTATAAATTGATGGTTCGGATTACAGGATGCGAAGGTCATATTTTTCCATTTTCTGTTGCAGTTAAAGGGTTGTTAAGATTCAGTTAGATCTGTGGCCCATACTTTTTTAATGACTAGCTCAGAATATGAGCTTTCCAAAAGTTGTTTATAAATGGATAGTGATCAGTCTTTTGGGGAGATTATTTATTTATAAATCCCATCATTGGATGTTTCAGTAGTTGGGTTTCCCAAGGGACTCCATAGGCCAGCATAGCTGACTTCAATTATAAATATAGAAAAAAGGAGCTGCTTGGTAATGTGTATGTATCTTTCAAATCTTGGAATGTTCTCAAACCATTACATCGGTAAGGGTACGGATTCCACATTTGGACCATTGGGGGGATGCAAAAGGCCGTCCTCCAGATCGCAAGGCATTATTTTGAAATATTGGAGTATGAGCATGCCATTTTGATTCCCAGTTACATTGGTTTTCAATTTTGCGGCAAATAGAAATTGTGTGAGCAATAATAGGACCAAAGCATAGTTTACATTGTTTTAGGGATATATCAGTGAAGACCAACTCTTCCAGGGCAATAGGAGACACCATATTTATCTCTATACTCAACCAGGGGCAGAAGAAACATGTCTAAACCAATTTAGGATGGGGCGAAATGCTAGAGCCTGAAAATACAATTTAAAGTTTGGTACGGATAGTCCTCCTACGTCTTTCCCTCTTTGTAAATTTATAAATTTTATCCGTGATACCTTACCTTGCCATATACATTTTAAAACCGCACTATGAATTATATCCCAATAGCCAGAAGGGGGAGCAATGGGAAGCATTGAACTACAGAAATTCAGTCGTGCCAATATATTCATTTTGACAGTAGATATTTTGCCAGTTAAAGCAACTGGGATATTATTCCATTTACTGTGGTCAGATTGAATTGATTTCAGTGTTATGTTAAAGTTTCTGGCAATGGTTTTATCTAAAGAAGGAAATATATCTACTTCCAAATATTTATAATGGGAAATTATTGGGATTCCATAAGTAGAGAGGGAGTCGTCCATCAGGGTCTTGAGAGGCAGTAGGGCTGATTTGGTTAGATTCATTTTAATTGGATCGCCTTGTCTGCTGCTTCTAGTGACACTGAACGGAGCAGAGCAGATATTGCCTGTTATAACTATGGCTGAGGGATTGGCATATAGTATTTTAATCATCTTAATGAAATTGGAGCCAATTCCCATATGTTCCAAAACAGATCGGAGATATGACCATTCTAGTCTATCAAAAGCTGCATCGAGAGATAATACAGCCAAAGAGCTGTTGTTTCTGATGAAGCATCTAAGATATGTAATAGTCGATGGAGGTTATCCAAGGATAAACACATTTTAACAAACCCGCTTTGGTCCATGTGGATCAATTTGGGTAAGTAAGTCTCGAGACGACAACATTTTGGAAAACATTTTAATATCTGTGTTTATCAAAGATAATGAGAATCCTTTTCTTTTTTTTATATAAAAGCTCATTTCTACCAGCATGTTAAATGTGCAACCAGAGGGGAAAAAAACTCTAGACTACCTTTACTTCACACACAGAGACGCTTACAAAGCTCTCCCTTGCCCTCCATTTGGCAAATCTGACCACAACTCTATCCTCCTGATTTCTGCTTATAAGCAAAGACTACAACAGGAAGCACCAGTGACTCGGTTAATAAGGAAGTGGTCAGATGACGCAGATAATAAGCTAAAGGACTGTTTTGCTAGCACAGACTGGAATATGTTCCGGGATTCTTCCGATAGCATTGAGGAGTACACCACATCAGTAACTGGCTTCATCAATAAGTGCATCGATGACATCATCCCCACAGTGACCGTACGTACATACCCCAAACAGAAGCGATGGATTACAGGCAACATCCGCACTGAACTAAAGGGTAGAGCTGCCGCCTTCAAGGAGCGGGACGCTAACCCGGACGCTTATAAGAAATCCCGCTATGCCCTCCGACGAGCCATCAAACATGCAAAGAGTCAATACAGGACTAAGATTGAATCGTACTACACCGGCTCTGACGCTCGTCGGATGTGGCAGGGCTTGAAAACTATTACAGACTACAAAGGGAAGCACAGCCGCGAGCTGCCCAGTGACACAAGCCTACCAGACGAGCTAAATCACTTCTATGCTCACTTTGAGGCAAGCAACACTGAAGCATGCATGAGAGCATCAGCTGTTCCGGATGACTATGTGATCAAGCTCTCTGTAGCCGATGTGTAGCAGACGGATTACCAGAACGTGTACTCCGAGCATGCGCTGACCAACTGGCAAGTGTCTTCACTGACATTTTCAACACGTCCCTGACTGAGTCTGTAATACCAACATGTTTCAAGCAGACCACCATAGTCCCTGTGCCCAAGAACACTAAGATAACCTGCCTAAATGACTGCCGACCCGTAGCACTCACGTCTGTAGCTATGAAGTGCTTTGAAAGGCTGGTCATGGCTCACATCAACACCATTATCCCAGAAACCCTAGACCCACACCAATTTGCATACCGCCCCAACAGATCCACAGATGATGCAATCTCTATTGCACTCCACACTGCCCTTTCCCACCTGGACAAGAGGAACTCCTATGTGAGAATGCTATTCATTGACTACAGCTCAGTGTTCAACACCATAGTGCCCTCAAAGCTCATCACTAAGCTAAGGACCCTGGGACTAAACACCTCAGGGGTGCGTGCTCAGTCCCCTCCTGTACTCCATGTTCACCCATGACTGCATGGCCAGGCACGACTCCAACACCATCATTAAGTTTGCCGACGACACAACAGTGGTAGGCCTGATCACCGACAATGATGAGAGCCTATAGGGAGGAGGTCAGAGACCTGGCCGTGTGGTGCCAGGATAACAATCTCTCCCTCAATGTGCTCAAGACAAAGGAGATGATTGTGGACTACAGGGAAAAAAAAGAGGACTGAGCACGCCCCCATTTTCATCGACGGGGCTGTAGTGGAACAGGTTGAGAGCTTCAAGTTCCTTGGTGTCCACATTACCAACAAACTATCATGGTCCAAACACACCAAGACAGTCAAAGCCTATTCCCCCTCAGGAGACTGAAAAGATTTGGCATGGGTCCTCAGATCCTCAAAAGGTTCTACAGCTGCACCATCAAGAGCATCCTGACTGGTTGCATCACCGCCTGGTATGGCAACTGCTCGGCCTCCGACCGCAAGGCACTACAGAGGGTAGTGCGTACGGCCCAGTACATCACTGGGGCCAAGCTTCCTGCCATCCAGGACCTCTATACCAGGCGGTGCCAGAGGAAGGCCCTAAAAATTATCAAAGACTCCAGCCACCCTAGTCACAGACTGTTCTCTCTGCTACCACACGGCAAGCGGTACCGGAGCGCCAAGTCTAGGTCCAAAAGGCTTCTTAAACGCTTCTACCCCCAAGCCATAAGACTCCTGAACAGCTAATCATGGCTACCCGGACTATTTGCATTGAAGCCTATGGGACTGGCCATCCATCCTAAACAGTTTCTCCCATAGGAATGCAATGTGCTCTAGCCCCACAAGAAAGCAACCCCAGTCTGTAGGGCACTTCAATATATTTTGTCAATTTCCATTAATTGGCGTAGAGTCATCATTGTCTAAATGTCCTGGAACATAGGCAATAAGTCCAATGTTCAGCAATAATAATAATAATAATAACAATAGTGTTCCTTTTACTAAATTGAGAGGGTTTCCTCATCATTGTCTTAGGAGCACAATTTTATAAAAGATATGGATCTATTATATTTCATCTTAAAATTACAGCCAAACGCTTATCTCATAAAACAGACATTAAATAAATCGTTCAATCTGCTATTTTTTATTAGAAAATACAAAACTCACCTCAAAAACAGGCATAATTTGCTTGGCTTGAGGTATGTTGGCAAGATGTATGGATACAACATGGATGGGAACCACAACCAGCATGGAACAGGCAAACCGTATCTGCGGGCCAAATAGCACCCTTTTCCCTATACAGTGCACTACTTTTGACCAAGGCCCGTAGGGTGTTCATAGACAATGAAGGGCTGTGGTCATAAGTAGTGCACTACATAGGGAATAGGGTGCCATTTGAGACACATCTTGTGTCTTTAGGCTGCCCGGGACCTTGAGGAGGTTTCCATGTCTGTCGCAGGCACCCTCTGCCTGGATGAAATGAATGTACTGCTGGGTGCATGTGGCCATTGGATTCACAGATCCCTGTTCAGTCTCAGTCTCTTGTCGTGGATGTGCTGCAGCAGAATCCTCCCTCTCTGCTCAACAGTGTGGATGAGAGGTTTCAGGCCACGTGCCCCCCCTCGGCTCTCCCAGAATTCCTTGTCCATATACAGGGAGCTCAGGAGCATGCTCTCCAAGCAGCCAGACTGGAGAACTGATACGGCTCTCTCTGGAAACCTGCCAGAAAAATACAGTAAGACTCACTGTTTGGAAAAGAAATCCAGACAAATACCAGACAACAGATATCAAACCCAATTGACTGAGCATATTGTGATGATGTGGCCTATTTTAGTTTAATCCACCAACAGTTATCCTTCATCTCTGAAGTATTCAGAAAGAAATAACAACAATGCATAGATAGAGTTATGAAGATCCGCCCAATCGCTTCACTGGATTTAGAAAACACAGATTAAGGCTGTGTGATGTGGGGTTGATGTAGGGTTCAACTGAGCTTCTGTACACTAAGGTACTTCCTAAATGGCACCATATTCCCTATATAGTGCAGTACTTTTGGTCAGAGCTCTGGCAGACTAAGCCTATTTCCAGGCTTCTGTCTAGCCTTGAATAGAGGCTGAATAATAGATGTTTGTACTCACTCATCGATGCCCTCTACTAAGTGGAAGTTGAGGTTGTCATGGGGATGATTTGGTCTGCCTGCATTGTCTATGAACACCAGTCTGGTAGGCTCTACCCTCCTCACCTGTAGAAAAAAACATAGACAGACTGTCTAGTTTAGCATAAAGTATCATCACCACTAACTGTATCTCTTTGATAAATATTACTATAGTAATTATGAAATGAAGGCTCGGGAGAATAACTTTCAACTAGATATGACTTCTTTAGACCTCTCACTATATATCAAACTATAAATCAAATCAAAGTTTATTGGTCACATAGACAGTCTGGCAGGTGTTAGAGCGGGTGCAGCTAAATGCTTGTGTTAATAGCTCCTAACAATGTAGCAAAAATGTCAAAGTACACAAAACATTATCAAAAACAAAAAAAATAAGAAATCACAAAATGTCAGGACGAATCCAGTTAATAACCCAAATAACACTGTATCAGTAATTCATGTACAACAGAAAATTCACTATATTACAGTGAGATAGGTCAAGAATCCAGTATATAGATAGAAAGTCAACTCCTACTCCTTTCTACAACAGCTGAAATAATAAAGCGTAATGTGCTTAATAGAATTCTATTTGTCTTTGGCAAAAGCGAGTACCAAGTACCAGCAATGAGTTCAGCAGGTTCAGTGGAAAGAGGGAGTAATTATTCCACAGAGCAGTGGTAAAAGAATAGTGATCATCTTTGTCCAACATCGGAATTCTCTTTGTTAAGAATAAAAGGTCTGGATAGTAGTAATAATATTAGTATAGAGCTCTACATTTGTAGAGGTCTGTTTACATTGGCCTATTAGATTATTTAGACAAGCCTCCTGCTAAACCTCCTGCAAGCTCTTATCTTACATTATGTCCAAGTAAGTAAGCCTTGTCTGAGCCAGAATGAGCCAAGATGGCCACCATTGTTTCTGTACCCAAGAAAGCAAAGGTAACTGAATTAAATGACTATCGCCCCGTAGCACTCACCTCTGTCATCATGAAGTGCTTTGAGAGACTAGTCAAGGATCATATCACCTCTGCCTTACCTGTCACCCTAGACCCACTTCAATTTGCTTATCACCCCAATAGATCCACAGACGATGCAATCGCCATCACACTGTACACTGCCCTATCCCATCTGGACAAGAGGAATACCTATGTAAGAATGCTGTTCATTGACTATAGCTCAGCATTCAACACCATAGTACCCTCCAAGCTTATCATTAAGCTCGAGGGCCTGGATCTGAACCCCGCCCTGTGCAACTAGGTCCTGGACTTCCTGAAGGGCCGCCCCCAGGTGGTGAAGGTAGGAAACAACATCTGCACTTCGCTGATCCTCAACACTGGGGCCCCACAAGGGTGCGTGCTCAGCCTCCTCCTGTATTCCCTGTTCACCCATGACTGCGTGGCCAAGCACGCCTCCAACTCAATCATAAAGTTTGCAGACGACACAACAGTAGTAGGCTTTATTACCAACAATGACGAGACCGCCTACAGGGAGGAGGTGAGGGCTCTGGGAGTGTGGTGCCAGGAAAATAACCTCTCTCAACATCAACAAAACAAAGGAGATGATCATGGACTTCAGGAAACAGCAGAGGGTGCACCCCCCTATCCACATCGACGGGACCACAGTGGAGAAGGTGGAAAGCTTCAAGTTCCTTGGCTTACACATCACTGACAAACTGAAATGGTCCACCCACGCAGACAGTGTGGTGAAGAAGGCGCAACAGAGCCTCTTCAACCTCAGGAGGCTGAAGAAATTTGGCTTGGCACCTAAAACCCTAAAACTTTTACAGATGCACAATTGAGAGCCTCCTGTCGGGCTGTATCACCGCCTGGTACGGCAACTGCACCGCCCACAACCGCAGGGCTCTCCAGAGGGTGGTGCGGTCTGCCAAACGCATTACCGGGGGCAAACTACCCGCCCTCCAAGACACCTACAGCACCCGATGTCAAAGGAAGGCCAAAAAGATCATCAAGGACATCAACCACCCGAGCCACTGCCTGTTCACCCCGCTATCATCCAGAAGGCGAGGTCAGTACAGGTGCATCAAAGCTGGGACCAAGAGAATGAAAAACAGCTTCTATCTCAAGGCCATTAGACTGTTAAATATCCATCACTAGCACATTAGAGGCTGCTGCTGCCTATTGAAATCACTGGCCACTTTAAGAAATGGAACACTAGTCACTTTAATAATGTTTACATATCTTGCACTACTCATGTCATATGTATATACTGTATTCTATTCTATAATATTGTACTGTATCTTAGTCCATGCCGCTCTGTCATTGCTTGTCCATATATGTATATATTCTTAAATTCCATTCCTTACTAGATTTGTGTGTATTGGGTATATGTTGTGAAATTGTTAGATATTACTTGTTAGATATTACTGCACTGTCGGAGATAGAAGCACAAGCATTTCGCTACACCCGCCATAACATCTGCTAAACACGTGTATGTGACAAATACAATTTGATTTGATTTGATTTGAATGGCCCATACATTAAGTCCATATGATGTTTTATTGGCTGTGATATGATAGTTACCAGGATGTGCACCAGCACTAGATCCTTCGGGTTCCTGCACTTGGTATGTAGCAGGTTCTCCACACATGGTTCTGTTGGGTCAGGCTGGAAACCGCAGCAGTACCGGTCCAGACGATCATTCACCTGCACGGGGTAATGAAAGAACATGGATTAGTTGGGATTGATCGTCAACAATGTCCTTTCCATAGAATTACATATAGAACTGTGATTTATAGCAAGGATTCCCAATTGTATACCGATATAAAACAACGCATAAATCCGCGATTCTTTAGGCTAGAAACAAGTGGTAAAACACCCAAGGAAGACGCGACTCTGATGCACATCGGAATATATTTGATTGGTCTCTATAACATGCAGAAGCTGAGCTACAACTTTCTAAAGTCGAGGAGTGAAAGAAATTAGACTATGTGTTGTTTCAGACTTTGCTTGGGAAGTAATCTTATACAATGTGACTCTGTGGCTATCAATTGATCTATTCACTTTCTGTAAAATAGAATATGTATAATTCAATTGAGTGTTCATATAAATTATCATAATAAAACACATTTGATAACGGTCTATACTTTAATTTCTTTATCCATTATTATGATTATTATCATTTTAAAAAACTAGAGTTGCAGGTAATTAGCTTCAAAACAAAATCAAGCTGGTGATGTATTTAATGCATGCTATCTCAATAAACAGTAATAAAAAAAGCAGTGGGGTGCATGACATTTTTTACATGTCAAAAAGGGGCCCTGGTGAAAAAAGGTTGGGAACTCCTGATTTATAGGATCTCTTTGGTGCTTTCTTTATAAAGAACCTCAGACTACAGAACAGCTATCCAAGAGGAAAATCAAGGGTGACTACAAGAAACTATTGTAAAATCTATTTATTTTCTGAAATCATCAACCATAGCAAATAACTCTTACGCTTGTTTGCTATGCAGTCATTTATCATTTTGTTGACAGAATTCCAAATGCAGCCAAGTAAGGCCTAAGTGTTGATAGAGTTAGTGACAGTTACAGTTTAAGCCTTTTGCATGAGAGAGAGAGGGAGGTGAGAGGAGGAGGGGAATGGTGAGAGGAGGAGGGGGGGATGGTGAGAGGAGGGATGGTGAGGAGGTAGTTACTCATGTGAGACAGACCCCTAAGGTCAGAGGTCGCCAGAGTTGATTACAGTAAGAGGTGGTTCAGTCATTGTAGGTCAATCACCTGCAGTGAGGGCAAACCAGAGCAAGCTAGCAAAAGCAGTAAGACTGCTATTTTTGCCACCTCAGTTATTGCAGCAAGTCCAATTCTATGAACAAGAATACTATAGCAAAGCCAAACTTTTAAGTGTATATCATCATTTTTAAAATTCATATACATTATAACTTCAGGCTGACTTCTCTCCACTTCACCAACTTCAATTATCACTGCTGACTTGTACAGTACTCACCAGCACTGTTTAAATAAGGAAGCTCTTTTTTCAAAGTTAACACACATCATATTATATTTGTTCATGAATGTATGTATTCACTGCTGACATTTTTTTTGTGCATATTCACACAAACAAATCCCCAAATATAATAACACAACATCAACACCTGTGGTACCGTTCTCCTCCTCATTATACCGCAGAACAAACCAACTATCAGGAGCGGAAGGGAGCAATGGAATCCTTGGTGTTAAACTGAGAAGTGGAGACCTTGCCACACTCCTCTCAGAGTGTTACCAAGGTGAGATATGCCCCCAGGTCTGTCTGGGCCTCTCTGTGGTAAAACTCACACCTCACCATTTCGCTTCACTTCTTTAGCGCCTTCAGGAGTTCTCACATCCCTACTACATTTCACCCTTACACTACAACACACTCATTCACTTGGTACCACCAAGTCTCTGGGAAACAGGACATGCTATTAAGGCCTATATCACACACAATAACATCACAAGCTAAACAATAAGCCTACTCACAACTAATTCATAACAATACATTGGTAGCCTTATTAGCCTACAATGGCAATTCAAAGCATCCAAGGCAATGACCAACAACGAGGACACTTGGCGCAAGGTCCTCTTTCTCCTCTGTTCTCCCCAGGCGAAGTGCGTGTGTGACAGTGTGTCCTTCACACTGTTCCCCTTGCTAATTGGTGTTAGGTTGCACATCAGAGCCATTAGATGTGTTAAGTGTGCAGGTAGGAACAAGTGTTACAGGGTCCCAGTCAGCAATTCCACTGAATCAATAAAATGCTATTAGCAGTTGGCATGTTACAGGTATTGACTTCTGCAAAGAGACTACTCATGTATTATTCATACAGTGGCTCCCTGCGTCCCAAATGGCACCCTATTCCCTATATAGTGCACTGCTTTTGAAAGTAGTGCACTATATAAGAAATAGGGTGCCATTTTGTACTCACACACTATTCTCTCCCCCCACAGTTCAGTTACCCATTCCATTTCATCTCAGAGAGAGAAGACAGTCTTTCTTTATCATTATCATCCACAAGGCTGCAGGGCCAGACGGATTACCAGGACGTGTACTCCGATCATGTGCTGACCAATTGGCAAGTGTCTTCACCGACATTTTCAACATGTTCCTGACTGAGTCTGTAATACCAACATGTTTCAAGCAGACCACCATAGTCCCCGTGCCCAAGGACACTAAGATAACCTGTCTAAATGACTACCGACCCGTAGCACTGACGTCTGTAGCCATGAAGTGCTTTGAAAGGCTGGTCATGGCTCACATCAACACCATTATCCCAGAAACCCTAGACCCACTCCAATTTGCATACCGCCCCAACCGATCCACAGATGATGCAATCTCTATTGCACTCCACACTGCACTTTCCCACCTGGACAAGAGGAACACCTACGTGAGAATGCTATTCATTGACTACAGCTCAGATTTCAACACCATAGTGCCCTCAAAGCTCATCACTAAGCTAAGGACCCTGGGACTAAACACCTCCCTCTGCAACTGGATCCTGGACTTCCTGACAGGCCGCCCCCAGGTGGTAAGGGTAGGTAACAACACATCTGCCACGCTGATCCTCAACACGGGGGCCCCTCAGGGGTGCGTGCTCAGTCCCCTCCTGTACGCCCTGTTCACCCATGACTGCATGGCCAGGCACGATTCCAACACCATCATTCAGTTTGCCGACGACACAACAGTGGTAGGCCTGATCACCGACAACGATGAGACAGCCTATAGGGAGGAGGTCAGAGACCTGGCCGTGTGGTGCCAGGATAACAACCTCTCCCTCAATGTGACCAAGACAAAGGAGATGATTGTGGACTACAGGAAAAAAAAGAGGACTGAGCACACCCCCATTCTCATTGACAGGGCTGTAGTGGAACAGGTTGAGAGCTTCAAGTTCCTTGGTGTCCACATCACCAACAAACTATCATGGTCCAAACACACCAAGACAGTCGTGAAGAGGGCACGACAAAGCCTATTCCCCCTCAGGAGACTGAAAAGATTTGGCATGGGTCCTCAGATCCTCAAAAAGTTATACAGCTGCACCATCGAGAGCATCCTGACTGGTTGCATCACCGCTTGGTATGGCAACTGCTCGGCCTCCGACCGCAAGGCACTACAGAGGGTAGTGCGTACGGCCCAGTACATCACTGGGGCCACGCTTCCTGCCATCCAGGACCTCTATACTAGGCGGTGTCAGAGGAAGGCCCTCAAAATTGTCAAAGACTCCAGCCACCCTAGTCATAGACTGTTCTCTCTGCTACCGCACGGCAAGCGGTACCGGAGCGCCAAGTCTAGGTCCAAAAGGCTTCTCAACAGCTTCTACACCCAAGTCATAAGACTCCTGAACAGCTAATCATGGCTACCCAGACTATTTGCACCATCTTTTTACGCTGCTGCTACTCTGTTAATTATTTATGCATAGTCACTTTAACTCTAGCCACATGTACATATTACCTCAACTACCTCAACTAGCCGGTGCCCCTGCACATTGACTCTGCACCGGTACCCCCTTGTATATAGCCTCCCTACTGTTATTTTATTTTACTTCTGCTCTTTTTTTCTCTACACTTTTTTGTTGTTGTTGTTTTATTTTACTATTTGATTAAGAAATAAATGCATTGTTGGTTAAGGGCTTGTAAGTAAGCATTTCACGGTAATGTCTACACCTGTTGTATTCGGCGCATGTGGCAAATAAAAATTGATTTGATTTGATTTGATTATCAAATGTTTCTACAGCTGAGTTGGTTCAGTGGCTGTTTTATTGAATAGTTTTCTATTTTTAATAGAATGGGTAGCATGGATAAAATGCTGTAATAGCCTCCAAAGTGAGAGAATTTTGATTGAACACAATCAAAGATTGCAATTTGTGACTCATCTCTTTTAGAGACATTTTCCTATTTGTTTGTGTTTGCTCAGCGTCTTTATGCCTTTGAAAAATTGTGAGACATTATTTTCTGAAACAATCTGTATTCTGCCCCCAATTCATATGCATTGGCTATGTAACGATGACTGTTTACCCTGCAGTAACAAAGGAATGGATGGAAAAAGTAACCCCCACGATACATTTTTCTAAATGTTTTGTTTACTAAGTGGTGTCCATCATCCCCATCATCTTCCTGCCATTCATAGACTACCCTTTTTAATACCAAGTCTCCATGGCCTTGTAGTTTTTACCCATTCGAGCGCACCAGCACATCGTTTATTTCTTGTGGGGGGTTTTTCTAAACAAAGAAATATACTTTCTTCTGGCTATAGAGACAGACAGCGAGAAGAGCAGCTGGTATCACTTTCCTCTCATACCTTCCTAATGTGGACTTCCGTGATTGCCGGGCATCCCCATGGCAACCCTGACTTTGACTTCACTCTGCCAGCAGCCAGACATTGGGTCTTTAGAGGCCTGATGAAGACCGAGACTGGTGTGTGTGTGTGTATGAAATATTGTACATTGTACTCTCTCTATACCATACATACTAACTCTCTCTTACTTGCAATAAACATCATTGGGTTGTTGGCTTCATTGCCACCTCTCATCCCCTAAAGGCAGCTTAGATATTCCCCATGCAGAGTTACACTGACATACTACTCCATTTAGAGTGGCACTGTGGCAGAGCTGGCCTTATCAACCCTGTATTAATTACATCCTCTCAGGATGTCTCAGCTTTACACACACACACACACACACAAACACACACACACACACACACACACACACACAGATCCTCCATCCGGCTCTTACAAGGACCATCAGTCATCCTTTATAACACAATAAAGATCTCCAGCTTCATTATAAATCACTGGCAGATCATAAACGAGTTTGAAGCTAAATTAGAGATAAACATTGTGTTGATTTCTTATTGAACTGCGCTGATACATTCATCTAGTAGGGAGAATGATAATGACTTATTATGTTGTATGTCTAGTAAGCTGACGGGATGCCCTCACTACAATACCCTTCTACCTGTGATACATGAAAAAACATCATTATCTGATAATCAATTACATTTATCGCTCCAGAAGGAGAAAGTCACACTCTTTTCATTGGCCGGGATCTTTTAATCAAAGGCAGTTTAGTGAGTTGAGGTCTTCATATAAGACCTTGGCAAGACAATCCAGTGCTCAAATAGGACTCATTATCAAGGACTGCCAGTCTGCTATTAGACGAGGTCTGTGGATTTCATCCAGTGAGAATGTTATTTAATGCAAAACAAGAGCAGCATCCCAAATGGCACCCTATTTCCTTTACATTGCACTACTTTAGACCAGGGCCCATAGGGCTATAGTCAAAAGTAGTGCACTATATGGGGAATATGGTGCCATTTGGGATGCAGCCAAGGACCGTTGGCTGCTCTGAGTGTTCCCAGTCTGCCTGACCTCATGAGCCATTATCAGCTGAGCCCTCCATAGTGACGTTAAGTGAATCACTAGCTAACTGTCAGTTTATACATCGTAGTGGAATAACAACTTTACAAAACGTACATCGCTCAAGGTGAGGTGAGTTTTCAATCAGAACTCTAGTCTATGCATTATTTCAATAGGTTGTCTTCACATGGTGTGATTCAAAGGATATAGAATGTTATCAGTTTGGATGTGTAAGTTTGAGCGGCAGATCAGGATCAAAATGAGTTACGGTTATGGCTAAGGTTAGGGATACGGTTAGGAATTAAGATAGGGTTAGAATGCCTGGCATTAGGAGCCATACAAAATCTAACAGTCATATATCCACTACCTATCCGTTTTTCTGACCTCATAACTCTAGCCAATGTATTTATCTTAAAAGCTCAAATCAATGCTGTCAATAGGTTAAATAAAAGGGTTTAACGAGTGTGATTGGAGGATACAGAGTGTTATCAGTTGTTCTATACCTGTAGGAGGAAGTCAAAGAGGGCCAGGCGCCCCCACTCCGCATGGTGAACCCCCACACAGGGGGTCTCGTTGAGGGCCACCCCGCTGCTGCTGCCACACCTGGCCCTCAGCAGGCTCTGGTACTGGGGCCAGGTGAGAGGGAACGAGTTCTGGTCATTGTCATCATCAGCCAGGTGCTGGATGCCTGGGTCCCACCACACCACGGGTCTGGCTGCCCCTCTGGTGTATTTATAAGGCAGGATGTCACTGTGGAAGGCCCTGGACACTGTGGGCAGACTCCTGTTCAAGCCGAGAACACGGTCTAAATGGAAGGCGAAGACTTCGAACCAGTCGTCTGGACGTTTGATCAGGGCACACAGACCCTGCTGGCAGTGCCCACTGTGGTCAGCCAATGGAGCCCCAAGAGAAGGGTCATGATGAGGGGCACCCAGCCCTACATGGAGGACCTGTCCGTGGGCTGGGATCCTGGCCTTACTGACAACCTCGCTGCCTGAGAGGAACTCCATCTTGTGAATATCGTCCTTGCTGAGCCATGGCAGGGAGTCAGGGTCCCCAGTCCTTATTCTCCGTGTGTCAGTGTCTGGAAACTCCCTCTCTCCAGCTGACATCTTACACCAGTGGGCCTCCCCCTCTCTCCCTTTCTCTGCTGCTTCTGCTGTGGGACCGGGTCTCTTTACGCCCAGACGAAGTGGGCCTCTTCCTCTTTGAGGCCACTGCTGACTGTCTGTCATGTTTCCTGAGTTCTCTGGGGACCTTTTTCACAGCCTGCTGCTTGGTTAGGTCCTTCCTCCCTGCCTGCCCTGCCTGCCCTGCCTGCCCTGTGTGCCCCTGGTCCTGCCTCTGTTCATCTGGAGTATATTTGTGCTCAGAGTCAGACAGGCTAAGGTCTGCAGTAGAAGGGCGGCTCTGGCTACGCGCTACAGTCTGGGGCACGGCTGGGTGGAGGTTCTCTTGTCTGGGAAGAGGTGGTGGCTGGGTGGAGAGCTCTGAACCACTGCAGTTGGTTAGATGGCTTCCATCATGCCTCATTAGTGAAGCATTGACTGTCAATGGCTGGATATTATGTTGTTTGTCTCTACTAGAACTTTGCGGAATCTCTTTCTTCTCTTTCCTTTTGGAGGCGATGCCCTTAGTTTTACGATTCTTCTTCTTGTTATTGCTTTGAGTTCTCTCATATGTCATGCTAGCTGCTCTTCTATCCAGTTTGGGCTGGTCCATCACCAGGTGATGCTTGGAGGACTCTTTGACTTTGTCACTCTGCTTCCAACCTCCACTGTGACCGTTGAGGGGTAGAGGAAGATGGGTGGTGAGGGTGGCCAACGTGGCCCTTTCCCTGGGTCTAGCCCTCGCTCTATACACTCTGGCTCCAGCAGAGCTCAGGCCTCGTGAGGGCAGCCTGCGTGTCTTAGAGGGGGGGAAGGGGAGGGTGTTGATCACCACCACAGACAGGGTAAAGAGGAGGAGGAAGGCCCCCACTGCCCACCTCTTGCAGCAGATCTTGGACCACACTCTCAAGGCCTACATGCATGGGAAACAGCAAACAAAGAGAAAGTTAGGTCTGTAGTTAGGGTCAAACCACCAAAAAGCCATGATTATAATGGCTCAAATCAAAGATAATATATTTACTCTCTAAACTGTACGGTCGCTGGTCGGCCACTTGAACTGAACAGCTCAGATTTCAGTGTGTGTTTACAGAAGAGGGAACTTAAATGTCTTAGAGGTTGAGAAATGCAAATACCGGTATGCAGACTGAAGGATGAGGGCAAACAAAAAACATCAAAATGAAACAACCTGTGTTGATAATGTTTTATTTGATAAGTTATTCTGTTAAAACACTAAGCTCTGAGAGAGAGAGAGAGAGAGAGAGAGAGAGAGAGAGAGAGAGAGAGAGAGAGAGAGAGAGACAGGGAAAGAGACAGATAGAAAGAGATGAGATGAGAGGAAGGGGAGAGCGAGAGAGAAGATAGAAAAAAAGGAGAGGAGAGGGGGAGACAAAGAGAGAAAAATAGTTAATCCACATGTATCCCATCTGCAATGCACACAAGTGGAAATAAAGCCTTTCTCAGCCACAGCTGGGCTTTCCTCAGCTTATAGGAAAGTTACAGTTACTGAGCTGAGACAAATACTATGGCACACACATAGATATTGCAGCATTCCCTTCTGCACGCCAGACCATCCAGAATATGCTGACAGATACTGCGTGCCAAATGGCATATAGTGCACTCCTTTTGACCAAGGCCCATAGGGAATAGGGTGCCATTTGGGACACAGGCGGATTCTGGATGGCTTACTTCTACTGCAGCCTCTGTGATGATGAATTACTTTTTTGTGGCATAGGCCTACATACAAACCGGTCCCATTCCATAAAGTCTCCATCGCATGTAGAGTATGTATGCCATTGAGATAAATCAAATCAGATGTATCTCTATGGAGTATGCTCTCAATGTTATTCAAACCTATGGTAAATCCAGAGGCAGTTATTTATCTGAATCATATATCAATGAAAGGATTAGGCTATGGTATAGAGCTATAGAGACTATGGTATAGAGCTATAGAGACTATGGTTATAGAGCTATAGAGGCTATGGTATAGAGCCATAGAGGCTATGGTATAGAGCTATAGAGGCTATGGTATAGAGCTATAGAGACTATGGTATAGAGCTATAGAGACTATGGTTATAGAGCTATAGAGGCTATGGTATAGAGCTATAGAGACTATGGTATAGAGCTATAGAGACTATGGTTATAGAGCTATAGAGGCTATGGTATAGAGCTATAGTGACTATGGTATAGAGCTATAGAGACTATGGTATAGAGCTATAGAGACTATGGTTATAGAGCTATAGAGACTATGGTATAGAGCTATAGATGCTATGGTATAGAGCTATAGAGGCTATGGTATAGAGCTATAGAGACTATGGTATAGAGCTATAGAGACTATGGTAAAGAGCTATTGAGACTATGGTTATAGAGCTATAGAGACTATGGTTATAGAGCTATAGAGACTATGGTATAGAGCTATAGAGACTATGGTATAGAGCTATAGAGACTATGGTTATAGAGCTATAGAGGCTATGGTATAGAGCTATTGAGACTATGGTATAGAGCTATAGAGACTATGGTATAGAGCTATAGAGACTATGGTATAGAGCTATAGAGGCTATGGTATAGAGCTATAGAGACTATGGTATAGAGCTATAGAGACTATGGTTATTGAGGCTGTAGAGGCTATGGTATAGAGCTATAGAGACTATGGTTATAGAGCTATAGAGACTATGGTATAGAGCTATAGAGACTATGGTATAGAGCTATAGAGACTATGGTAAAGAGCTATAGAGACTATGGTTATAGAGCTATAGAGACTATGGTTATAGAGCTATAGAGGCTATGGTATAGAGCTATAGAGACTATGGTATAGAGCTATAGAGACTATGGTTATAGAGCTATAGAGGCTATGATATAGAGCTATAGAGACTATGGTATAGAGCTATAGAGACTATGGTATAGAGCTATAGAGACTATGGTTATTGAGTCTGTAAAGGCTATGGTATAGAGCTATAGAGACTATGGTTATAGAGCTATAGAGGCTATGGTATAGAGCTATAGAGACTATGGTATAGAGCTATAGAGACTACGGTATAGAGCTATAGAGACTATGGTTATAGAGCTATAGAGACTATGGTATAGAGCTATAGAGACTATGGTTATAGAGCTATAGAGACTATGGTTATAGAGGCTATAGAGACTATGGTATAGAGCTATAGAGACTATGGTTATAGAGGCTATAGAGACTATGGTATAGAGCTATAGAGCCATGACTACATGGAACTCTCTCCCACCTAAGTTAACCCAAGCAATAAAATCAGATTAAAAAATAACCCATAAAACAACACCTCATGGCACAACACGGCCTCTGAAGACATACACACACTCTAACACACATACACACAGATTTTATACACACGCACCCACACATTATTCTTAGTGATGTAATATAGTATTATAAAATTGTAATGCAATTATGGAGCAATGTAAATTTGTATGATGTTTTGTATGATGTAATGTTTTATTTATGTTTGGACCCCAGGAAGAGTAGCTGCTGCCTTGGCAACAGCTAATGGGGATCCTAATAAAATACTAAAGACTAAATACTATGGTTCCATTCGATCTTCACATACATACAGTATAATTATGGAAATAACTTAGCTTCTTCCATCTTTTAGTTTCTAATCTTTTCAATTTTTTCTGAGTTACATTTAGATGAATATTTAGTAACACTGATTAGTGAGAAACTGCCTTCAAGGATCAGCTTTACTGGCCCACAATACAACTCTACTAATCACATAACCAATAGTAGGTGAAAGCAGTCATCTCTCAGAAAGACAACTTACATCAGCTGTCCCTCTGCCTGCCTCTCTCCTGTCCTCTTTCTCCTCCTCCCTCTCGACTCTCTTTCTCTCTGAGGGAATTCAACAGAAGGAATGTTTCAAACCCATGAGATCTTTTCCCAATCGGTGGCTGACGACAGTTTTACAGCTTTCCCAGATCCCACCTGTGAATGGATTTCATTATGCTCTTCTGAAAGAATGTCATGCCAGTAGTTCTGACTGAGTCAGGGGTCCTGATGGGCTTTTAGATGTCCGTGGAGATCCCTGTCTGAATAAGATCTACTACTTACCCAGCTGACTTATAGGACGCAAAAAATCAAACACCTAACCCCCAGGCATATGTGTAGATCTGAGATAGAAAAAAGTATACCACCAGAATATGGTGGTAGCTCCATCTTGCCCTCTGATAGGCCAGGTGGAATTCCCGCTATATTGCTTACACCTATCCAATCCTCTCATTCTACAGAAGTGCCCAAAGGGTCTATCTCTAGCGATTCATTTGGATAAGATATGTCCTGCACCTATACTGTACATTGTAATAAGCTCCTGAGCAGCACAGACATTCTTTGGCAGTGGGTGGGTAAAGCTGAAGTTTCACTCTGCCAAGGTCCAACACCCTCTCTCCAGTGATGCAATGCACCAGCCTCCACCTGGCAAAGTCAGAGAGCTCACTCACACTCACTGATGAAACCTGCTCTCCAAGAACACATTACATCACATTCCAAAGTTCTGGAATTTTGTGGAAGTGACACAGATGCACCCTGTCTTGACCCTGTCCACTCCTGCTCAAAAGTAGTGCACTATATAGGGAATATGGTGTCATTTCAGATGCATACAGGGGCTGTTTTCTTGTGGGTTTTGTGCCACGGGCAGGTGAAGCTATGGAGCATTGGTTAGGATAAGCCAAGGCTCAGTCCCAAACGGCACCCTATTCCCTATTTAGTGCACTATGGCCCTGGTCAAACGTATGACACTATATAAGGAATAGGGTGCCATTTGGGATGCAAGCCAAGTGTTGTCTTGTCAAGTGACTCAGTTTGTTTTCCCAGTGGTTTGGCCAACCAGCTCTAATTAGTGGTTAGGCATGTAGCACCTTGTGTATCTGTGTGACTGTGCGACTGTGTCAACATGAAGACATTGTGTTGATTCTCAGTGGCATGCACAGCAAGGGGGTATGATACACAGGTCAACACCACACCAAACCACATCACAAAAAACAACTAGACAAATGCCTTGGTGTCAAATGTGATAGGAATTTTAATCATCACAAAAACAAAATAGTTTGAAATTGACACAGTCATTGTTGTATTGCATGGCTGTTGTTGAACGGTTTTCAGCTCACATGCTATATGATCTGTTACATCTGCCACACAACACATCTTAGCACCTATGTTACACAAAGAATACTAGAAGAATACAGGAAGTATACAATAGCTTAACTTTATTGAGTGGAGTCATCCTCGTCAATGACCTTTCTTGCAGTGATCTTTACCAATAGTTGTTCAGCATTTGTCTGTGTTCCACCTCAGTCTAATGCCAGCTAGCCTCCCACTCATTTCAGCAGGCCAGGTGCCTGCTGCTTTTACCTTCTGTTCCATTCTTTTTACATCTCTTCTCCTTTTGTAGACGGAACGCTCGAGGATTTAGACGGAACGCTCGAGGACAGGTTTGCAGGAATGCTGAGACATGCAACAAATTCTTTACAGGATTCAAAGAAGATTAGGAGAAAATATGTCTCATTATTTTCTGTGTTTGGTGGAGAGGGGGAGGAGGAGAAAGAGGAGAGGGAGGAAGAGAGGAAGGGTGGAAGAGAGAAAGGTGGGAGTAGGGAGGGAGAGTGGGAGGGGAGAGAGAGAGAGAAAAAGGGAGAGAGAAAGGGAGAGGGGGGGGGGCTACTGTAGGTGAATAGCACTAATATTACACAGAGAATAGCATCTAAAAAGAGCTCCTGAAGTAGTGGGAGGAGAACAGACTGGTTTGGTGGTCAGGCTTTAGGGACAGTCACAGTCATACTCTGGAAAAGCACTGGGCTGCAGCTCTATTAGCATAGCCACGTACACTAGCATGTGGAGGGAGGCTCTCTCTCTTTCCTGCTGATACATTGTAGTTAATCACCCGTTGAGAATGAAATT